CCCAGAGCCCATAACTGCGGAAATTCCCATGTGCCTATTTCTACATCAGCCTGAGAAAAGACCAGAGTTACTGGGACCTATCCAAACCTCCCATTCTGGAGAATCCCACTCCCTCCTTTTGACTGTGAGGTCCTACTGTATCATCTGAAATTGCTCCCTATAGCTGTCACCATTCCTCTGAAAATCCTGTAAAATGAAAACCACTCCCAGACTTCAGGTGCCTCCCTTTCCCCAGGACGCCGTGGACTGCCCCTTGACCATGACCAAGCAATATCTGTCTTTCATTCCATCTCCTCCACCAGAGCCCCCCACTGCAGAATTCAAATGCCTTGTAACTGTGCTGCCACCTAATGTTCCGTTCTCTTGATCCTGAACTCCCAACACCCCAACTGCAGCCAAATTCCACCTTTTAAGAGTTAACAGCCCTCCTTCGCAAAGTCAGCTTTAAATGGTGCTTACACCGCTCATGGAATTAGGCCCTGACTGATGCGTCCAGCACTGCCTGGCTGCAGAGATTGTCCAAATAAACAGGGAGCACAAAACTGGCTTGCTGACTGCAGAGAATAGACTGGTGTCAATAATAGAATTAGCTTTCATGTCATTACTCAGATGAGTGCAGTGAAAAGTTTACATGTCGCCACTTATGGTGCCATTATAGGTACAAAGGCACCTAGGTACAGATTCTTAAGTACTAATTCTTAGGGAACAAAAAAATAGAAAAGTGAAGAAATAAGAAGCCCAGTATTACAGATCATAGGAATACATTAGAAAAATAAAGAAATGAAATGATCAGAAAGACAATCCTTCTCATCCAGCCCACGCCAGCACCGAACCTCCAGACCGTGCTGGGCTTCACATCAAGGCTCTCGAGGCCGGAAGACCGCTCTGGAATTATCTGGAGGCCGGAGGTCCATGCTGAGGCCACACTGGGCCGAGAGACCACCACACCAGGCTGATGAGAGACCCCACATCAGGCCGAGAGACTGCCAGGCTGGGCCACCAAAAGACCACCATGCCAGGCTGGTGAGAGATAACTGCAACAGACCGTTGAGAGACTACCATGCCGGGCCAAGAGGACACCAGTCCAAACCGAGAGATCGCCACTCCAAGTCCACGCTGAGGCTGGGTGTCCGAGTCCGCGCTGAGGCTGGGAGTCCGAGTCCGCGCTGAGGCTGTGAGTCTGAGCCTGAGTCCGAGTGCACACTGAGTCCAGAAGTTCAGGACATCACTGAGAAGAAAGATGGAAAACACAAAAGGGAGAAAGAAGAGAAACAAAGGAAAGGAAATGGACAGAGCGGACGAGCTCTGACTGAGGAACCCTACTCCGGCCATCTTGAAAGCAATCAGTGTGTAGAGATTCATTTTGTTTAGCGATCTCCTCATCATTTTTAACCATTTTTAAGTGCTTTGCTACTTGGCAAAACTGAGTAATTTCTCACTTAAAAGGTGTTTGTCTTCGTTAGCTGTTTACTTGCAGAAATGCAGATATATGTTACAGTAATAAGGAGAGAAGGCATCCCTGAATTATTGGACTCATTATGCAATAAGGTTTTTGTTTCTTCATGCTGGCAGCAAATTTCATTCTGAGGAATGAAATAATTCTGTGTTTACTTGGGTTACACTCACAGAAAGGAACAGCTTGCCATTGCACAGTGTTTTGTCATGTAGAAAGGAAAAAATATACAATAAAGGAGCAAGAGTAGAGCAGCCAGCCCTTTGAATCTGTTCTGCCATTTGAAATGATCATGGCTGGTCATCCAACTCAGTATCCTGTCCCCACTTGCTCCCAATAGCCTTTGATGCCTGTATTGTTAAGAACTATATCTACCACTTTCTTGAAATTCTTCAATGTTTTGGCCTCAACAGTTTACTATGGGAGAGAATTCCACAGCCTTAACGCTCTCTGGTTGGAGAGATTTTTCCTCATCACTATCCTAAAAGGCCTGTCCCTTATCCTTAGACTGTAAACCCTGGTCTAGGCTCCCCAGTCACTGAGAACATCCTTCCTGCATCTGCCTTGTCTAAAACAGAAAACAACAAAAATGCTGGCGATCACAGCATCCATGGAGAAAAAGCAAGCTAGCGTTTCCAGTTTAGATGACTCTTCATCAGAGCTGACATGAACTGTGGAAGGGACAGCACTGATGCAATAGTTGGGTGTGGGGGAGTCCTGGGCGAGAAAGGGTGTTGATGATTTAGATTAGGTGATCAGAATGTGACAATGGCAGAAAAATGGTGTGTCAAACTGCCAGATTTGGGAAGAACAGACAATCCCACTGGGAAGTGGGGAGGGAGGGCATGGTGACAGAGAATTTAACAAGTAAAGCTAAAAGAAAGGGACGAATGAGAGTGGGTTCACAATTTGAAGGTGTCAAACTCAATATTAAGTCCAGAAACCTGTAAAGTGCCTAGTCTGAAGATGAGAAGACTCTCCCCAATTTGTGCTGTGATTTACTGGAGCACTACAGCATGCCGAGGACAGACATGTGGGCATGCGAGCAGGACACTGTGTTAAAATGACCGGCTATGGGAAGGTTGGGATCATGCTTGTGCATAGACTGGAGGTATTCAGACTCTACCCTGTCTAATCCTGTTAGAATTTTGTAGTATTCTATAAAATATTGTCTCATACTCTCCCTGCACATCAATCCCACCATCCCAGGAATATGTCTTGTCTGTCTTTCTGTCTATTTGCCTGTCTATCTATCTGTTTATCCATTCCTCTATCCATTGTTTATCTCTGTCTCACTATTTCTCTATTTATCTATCTCTCTGTCCATCTCTCTCTCTATCTCTCTTTCTATCACTATCTCTTTCTTTATATCTCTATCTATCTGAAATGTGCTAAAGCATCTCAAATAAGTTCACATTTTCCTCCATTCAACAAAGCAAATGCAGCATTTGATCGTATCATTACCTCTGTGGATAGTCTGATGGTAGAGTTGCAGGTAGACAGAATAGTGAAGAAGGTGTTTGGTATGTTTGCCTTTATTGCTTAGTACATTGAGTATAGGAGTTGGGAGGTCATGTTGTGGCTGTACAGGACATTGGTTAGGCCACTTTTGGAACACTCCCTACAATTCTCATCCCCCTGCTTTTGGAAGGATGGTGTAAAATTTGTAAGTGTTCAGAAAAGGTTTACAAGTTTGTTGCCAGGGTTGGAGTGATTGAGCATAAGAGAGATGCTGAATAGCCCTAGCCTATTTTCCCTGGAGCGTCAGAGGCTGAAAGGTGACCTTATAGAGGTTTACAAAACCATGAGGGGTGAATAGACAAGGTCTTTTCCCCAGGGTGGGGGAGTCTAAAACTAAAGGGCATAGGTTTAAGGTGAGAGAGGAAAGATTTCAAAGGGACCTATGGGCAACCTTTTCACCCACAGGATGGTGTGTATATGGAATAGGCTGCCAGAGGAAGTGGTGGAGGCTAGTTCAATTACAACATTTAAAAGGCATCTGGGTATATGAATAGGAAGGGTTTAGAGGGATATGGGCCAACTACTGGCAAATGGGACTAAATTTATTTAGGATATCTGGTCAGCATGGATGAGTTAGATTGAAGGGCCTGTTTCCATGCTGTACATCTCTATGACTCTTTTCTGCTCTTTGTATGTGGTTATTACAAGTGTATAGTTGATAGTTTTCTCAGTCCGCTACTTTTATCACGACAGTTCTCACAGAAAGTGTTCAGAATTTCTGAGAGAGGAAATTTTCACAAAACATATTTACAGCCTCACAGCAATGTAAACACTGGGAGGACCTCTTACTCCTGTGGCGAGTCCCACAGTGCTACCCCAGACCCTGTCAACTGACAATGGATGAGATGTTTATTCTGTACTGATAAATTTCAGGTATTAATTAATGGGAAAAGAAACAACTGATGGACTTATGCAGCAACATAGGATGCTCACTTAATCCAGACATGACCTTGAAACAAACATATCGTGTGGCTAAATTAGAAACAAATCCAAATAAACAAGCACTAAACATCAATGTCATTTTTTGAGCACAGTTATGCCCGATGATAGATCAAACTCACGCTAAGCCAGTTCCAAAGAAGAGTCTTTGAACTCGAAATGTTAACTTTGTTTCTCTCTTCACAGATATGCCCGGACCTGCTGAGTTTCTCCAGCAATTTCTATCCTTAAAAAGCATTGCAGCGGTTGAGAGGTTTGCTTTGTCAAAGTCATTACTTAACTATTACCATTGGTTGTACTTGTTCTTGGAAAACAAAGCTGAGAAATGACTGTTGAGTGATTTGAGCAGTTTAGAACTAATGTGATGTGCCATTTCTTCATCCACTGTTATAAAACAGGCATTAACTGTTTGATTTTAACATTCAGCTCCTTTATGGGAACTGGTTAACGACTCCGTTTTCCAATACAAGTAATTTGTAGATTGAGGTGATTTAAGATTGCATCTTAGCTCCCTTTGACATGGTTAATGACAGTCGTATATTAATGCAAAAACAAAATCTAAGTAACTTTTATGAAAAATAAAACCAGAAAATGAACATGATCGCATGTTCTGAGCTGATACTTGAGTACAGCCCTGAAAGAATGCCAGCATTCACAGAAGTTTAAAAAAAAGTCAAACACTTCTAAACATTATCAATGAACATCCCCTTTATTTTGCATTTCTTGCTATACATTTTTGCTCTTGAAGAATGATGTTAAGTATCAGAAGTTTTTGAACACCTTTTCTGTAGCCAGGATGTTGTGGAGTGGGCCTTTAATTCAGGGTAATCAGGCTTAGAGGCATTGTGCCACCAACTGAGTCATAAGACCTCCAGGCCATCCTGTGGTGCTATTCAAATAACAAGGAAGTTCTTGTCTTCTGTCAAACATCCTTCCATGGTGCCCAAGACTGACTAATAGATCTGCATTTTTGTAACACGTGGCAGTGACAGTTACACTGTTGATATCTAAAAATGCATAGTCATAACTTAGAGGCCTGACTGATTTGTCTCTGGCACTAATCATATGTCATTTTCATCTTCTCCAGCCAGTTATTCCAACAAGTCCTACCAGTAGCTCCACAACACCAACAAGCACCATTGGCATGTCATCAAAGTATGATAGTTCTACACTTCATGACGTCTTTATTCTATCTCCCCTTTCAGGAATCTACGGTCCCAGGTAGGTCTTAGAATGGGCAGCTCTGACTCTATCTTAAACACTGATCAATTATTACTCAACATTAAGGTCAGCTGAAAATACCAACTTTGAGACTTTTCAGCTCTCTGTTGTTGATAAGCATCTGATATCATTAAAAATGTCTTCCTTCCTGAGAGTTAAAATGCTAACCATCATGTTGTTTATGTGGTGTTCTGGTCTCTGAGTCCCTAGATTGCTTTGACCTTATACTTGCTTTCTTTTTGCTTTGAGGATTCAGACTTTGTAATGCACAAGGAACATGAGCTTTTTCTTCAAAGTGTAAAGCAGAATGCCATTTCATTCTGCAGTATGTTCTTCCAACAAAGTGACCATTTGAGAGCCATCAAACTGGCTTTAAAAGGTTTTGCAACTGCAAAATGTCAACATGCTTTGTAGCTCCAGTACTAATGGTTGTTTTTGGCGTTTTATTTCCCTGTCTTAGGGATGAGTTGGGGATATTGCCTTGTGACGACATTGGCAAGTATGGGATAGCCAAGTCTGGGATTAAAGGTTCCGAATCATCCAGCTACTACCTGGACCATGAAAGTGGAAAATATTACACATTAATGGAGGGAGAAGGCCTACCCATGAGCTCTGAATACGAAAGAGGGAGAGCAACTGGTATCCGGAGAAGGGAGAAAACATCTACTCATGGTTGGTATCTATTTTGCCTTTTCAAGTATTACATTTTTATCATAAGGATCTGTATTCATTCCAGTTAAAAATCACTGAGAATCCATCCTACCCTGTGGAGGTGGCACATAATGGTGAAGAATGTTAGAAGGTGCAAAGCAAAATAAAAAAAAAGAAAAATAGTATCAAAAATGCAATAGTACAGTCCACCTAACTTCTTGGTAATCAGTTTAACCTATAACTTCTGGCTAAGCAAGTGCAGGCCGCAAATTCCTTAAATTTCTGTGCTGAAGAGTATAGCTCTTGATAAAGACCAGGCAAAGGTTTGGAGAAAATTCCAACAGAAAAATTGGATGGGGCTTCATGTCAATTTTTGTGGAGAAAGAAATAGAGTCTAGACAATGCAGAGAAATAAACTTTGATGTTTTAAAAACTGTCACGAGGAAGTTGCGGAGGCCTTAGAGAATATAAAGGTGGATAAATATCCAGCACTTGATCTAATGTATTCCAGAATGTGGTGGGAAGTAAGGGACGAAATTACGAGACCCCTTGCAGATATATTTGCATCATCTATAATTACAGGTGAGGTACCTGATGACTGGAAGTTGGCTAAAGTTGTACCTTTGTTTAAGAAAGATCGTAAAGAGAAACTGAGGAACAAGAGACCCGTGAGTCTGACATCAGTTGTGGGTAAATTGTTGGAGGTGATTATTAAAAGACAGGATTTACGGACATTGAGAGAGGCAAAAATTGATTAGGGATAGTCAGCATTGTTTCGTGCAAGGAAAATCGTGTCTCACAAGCTTGATTGAGTTTTTTGAGGAAGTTGCCAAAAAGATTGATGATGGCAGAGCAGTAGACGTTGTTTACTTGGATTTTAGTAAAGCCTTTGACAAGGTTCTGCATGGTGGACTAATTAGAAAAGTTAGGTCACATAGGATTCAGGGCGAGCTTGCCAATTGGATACATAGTTGGCTTAATGGCAGGAGACAGAGAGTGGTGGTGGAGGGTTGTTTTTCAGACTGGAGGCCTGTAACCAGCCGTGTTTCACAGACAAGAGATAGTAGGAACTGCAGATGCTGGAGAATCTGAGATAACAAGATGTAGAGCTGGATGAACACAGCAGGCCAAGCAGCATCAGAGGAGCAGGAAAGCTGACGTTTCGTGCCTAGACCCTTCTTCAGAAATGGGGGAGGGGAAGGGGATTCTGAAATAAATAGGGAGAGAGGGGAGGTGGATAGAAGATGGATAGAGGAGAAGATAGGTGGAGAGGAGACAGACAGGTCAAAGAGGCGGGGATGGAGCCAGTAAAGGTGAGTGTAGGTGGGGAGTTAGGGAGGAGATAGGTCAGTCCAGGGAGGACGGACAGGTCAAGGAGGCGGGATGAGGTTAGTAGGTAGGGGATGGGGGTGGGCCTTGAGGTGGAAGGAGGGGATAGGTGGGAGGAAGGACAGGTTAGGGAGGCGGGGACAAGCTGGGCTGGTTTTGGGATGCGGTAGGGGGAGGGGAGATTTTGAAGCTTGACAGTGTTCCACAGGGATCGGTTCTGGATCCTCTTTTGTTTGTCATTTACGTAAATGATTTGGATGAGAATATAGAAGGCATGGTTAGTAAGTTTGCAGATGACACCAAAATTGATGGCATTGTAGACAGTGAAGAAGGTTTGCTAAAATTACAAAGGAATCTTGATCAAATGGATAAATAAGCTGAAAAATGGCAGATGGGAGTTCAAACTGGATAAATGCGAGGTATTGCATTTTGGTACAACAAGCAAGAGTAGGGCTTATACAATTAATGGGAGGGCCTTGGGTAGTCTTGTAGAACAGAGGGACCTAGGGGTGCAGGTACATAATTCTTTAAAGTTTGCGTCACATATAGACAGGATGGTTAAAAACGCGTTTGGCATGCTTGCCTTCATTGTTCAGTCCTTTGAGTATAGGAGTTGTACGGGACATTGGTGAGGCCTCTTCTGGAGTACTGTGTGCAGTTCTGGTCGCCCAGTTACAGGAAGGATATTATTAAGCTGGAAGGAGTTCAGAAGAGATTTACCAGGATGTTGCTAAGCATGGAAGGTTTGAGTTATAAAGAAAGGCTGAATAGGCTGGGACTTTTTTCACTGCAGTAAAGGGGGTTGAGAGGTGACCTGATAGAAGTTTATAAAATAATGAGAGATATAGATAGAGCTGATGGTCATTGTCTTTTTCCTAAAATGGGGAATTTCAAGACTAGGGGCCACTTTTTTTAAGGTAAGAGGAAAGAGATATAAAAAAGATATGAGGAGCAAATTTTTTTACACAGAGGGTAGTTCACGTGTGGAATGAACGACCTGATGAAGTGGTGTATGTGGGTACAATTACAATGTTTCAAAGACATTTGGATGGATATATGAGTAAGAAAAGTTTGGAGTGATTATGGGCCAGGAGCAGGCGGGTGGGACTAGTTTAGGTTAGGATTATGTTCGGCATGGACTGATTGGACCAAAGGGTCTGTTTCCGTGCTGTTTAACTATATGACTATATAAGACCCATAGGCGACCTTTCCAATCTGCCACGAATTGAAACCTTTACGTGGTTGACTAATGACGATGATGGGGCTCAATCCCTCGTTAGTGCAATTAGCCATTTTAGAATCCCTACAGTATGGAAAGAGCCTATTTGGCCCATCAAGTCTGCACTGACTCTTCAAACAGCATCCCACCCAGACACAGACCCCCACCCTATCCCTGTAACCTCACATTTGCCTATTGACACTACACCCTCCAATTGCCTCAAAGCTACCCCTCTGCCCTTACCCTGCGATGCCCACCCTGTGATCCTTGACTCACCTACTCATTGTTGCTGCCTTTCATGAGCCTGGGCCTGGAGGTCCCAAACTACTCTCAGATTAACCGGCAGCATCTGGCCTGGTGGGACTTCAGTGTTGAGGCTCATGATAAACTGAGAAGCTTGTCAGTCATCTCACGTGATCGATAGAAGCTTGATCAGGTACGATTCTCTCTGATGGGGTTAGGGGTTCAGTTGCTCATGAAGGTCTCTGTCATCATACCATGCATGATTCATTGTCCACATGACTTATGAACTGATGTACACAGATACAGATCTGTGTCTGTCCCATCTTCCGGGGTTTAATGCATGCTGAATGAGAACTCCATACATTCACTTCATTCTCTTCACTGTAATGAAGCGTGCAACCTGCTGGGAGAAGAAAAACCAACCAGCATTTAGCAACCATCCTTTGGCATTGTTAGTAAGTTTGCAGATGACACTAAAATTGGTGGTATAGTGCAGTGTAGAAGAAGGTTATCTCAGAGTACAAAGAGATCTTGATCAAATGGCTGAGGAATGGCAGTTGGAGTTTAATTTGGATAAATGTGAGGTATTGCATTTTGGGAAAGCAAACAAGGGCAAGACTTATACAATTAATGATAGGGTCCTGGGTGGTGCTGTAGAACACTCAGGGGTTCACTTACATAATTCCTTGAAATTTGCATCACAGGTAGACAAGGGGTTAAGAAGGCATTTAGCACACTTGCCTGCATTGCTCAGATCTTTGAGTATAGGAGTTGGCACATCATGTTGAAGTTGTATAGGACATTGGTGAGACCTCTTTTGCAGTACTGTTGTGCAGTTCTGGTCGCCATGTTATAGCTAGGATATTATTGAACTGGAGGTGGTTCAGAAAAAAATTATCAGGATGTTGTCAGGAATGGAGAGTTTGGGATACAAAAAGAGACTGGAAAGGCTGAAGCATCTTTCACTGGAGCATAGGAGGTTGAGGTTTATAAAATCATGAGGGGCATAGATAAGATGAATAACAAGGGTGGGGGAGTTCAAAACTCAGGAGCATATTTTTAAGGTGAGAGAAGAAAGATTTAAAAAGGACATGAGGGGCGACTTCTTCACACAGAGAGTCATTCGTGTGGAATGAACTGCCAGAGAAAGTGGTTGGATGTGGATGCAGTTACAATGTTTATAAGACATTTGGATAAGTTCATGAAGAGGAAAGGTTTGGAGGGGTATGGGCCTAGTTCAGGCAGGTGGAACTAGTTTAGTTTGGGAGCATGGTTGAGTGGACTGGTTGGACCGAAGGGTCTGTTTCCATGCTATATGGCTGTATGACTCTATGACTCGAAAACTCCCAAGCTGATCGAACAAGTTGCAGGAGGCCATAGTCTCCAAGATGCCATAATTGACAGGGATTTAAAGTTCCTTAATACTGTTCTCTCACATTACATCTCTAGAGTTAGTGGAGCTGTACTCAGGAATTCACTCAGCTTCATTTTGCAAGACTGCTCAGCGAACCTAGATGACCAGACAACATTTTCTATTTGTTGCAACTCCCCATGAAAAAATAAAGATTTTGATTTATATTGAGCCTTCTGATGTCCAAGAAGTGTCTCAAAATTTCACACAATTTTTAGAAGTGCAGTCATTGTGGTTAGGCAAATGACCCAGTTAATTTTTACACAGTATGATCCTGCAGATGGCGGAGATTTGGATGTGAGGTCAAACTGTAATATTTCCAAATTTGTTGATAAGACCAAATGGGTGGAAGGTAGTTTGTGAGGAGGATATAAGGAGATCTGAAGAGGACTTTGACAAGCAAAGGAATGTGCTAGAACATGGCATATAGAACATAATGTGAGTAAGTGTGAAGTTATTCAATATGGCAGAAAAAAGACAGAATGGTGAATTATTTCCTAAATGGAGAAAGGCTGAAAAGTGCAAATGTCTAAAGGGCTCTGTTCATGCGAGCATGCAGTTACAGCATGCAATCAGTAAAACAAACATTACATTGACATTCATTTCAAGATGATCTAAGTTCAAAAGTAAAGGTGCCTTGCTGTATTTGTACAGAGGCATGGTGAGACTTCACTTGGAGTATTGTATAAAATTTTGTTTTTTCTATCTAAGGAATGATATATGTGCCGTAGAGGGATTTCAATGAAGGTTTACTAGATTAATCTCTGTGATTAACAAAGAGAGATTGAGGAAACTGGGTCTGTGTTCCCTGGAGTTACA